AAAAACCAAAAAAAAAAAAAAAAAAAGTAATAAACTTTGGAAATAGTGCCAGCATAGTGAACTGAGAAACACGCTAGATTTAACATTAGACATGAAATAGAGTTAGAGCAACTATAGCAAAGGTAGACTGAATTTCATTGAGATATAACAATCAAATAATTCATACACGGTAACTTGTCCAATTTCCCTCAATAACTATCTGAATTTCAGCTCCATGCCATCTTTCCTTATTCTCTCTTTTCTCATGAACATGAATGTGAGGAACATTCCTACAAATTAATGAATTACAACATCATTATTTTGTGAAACAACAAAAATAAAGTTATGACATCTCTGCTTGAAGTCTGAAGAATAGCTTTGCCATACCGATGAATATCTATATCCAACCTACAAAATGAAGTGTAATTTTGGCTCTTCATTGATGAAGAGATCTCAATGGGCAGTCCAGTACTCATCTTTGACCAAATCAACGCCTGCACATTTCAAAGGAGATAAATTTTATATCCTAACAGGATTAAAACGACGGATCCATAACAGGAAACATAGCAGCTATGTAATATGATGATCAAGTCAGCAGGTAGGCTTCAAGTATCGATGTCTTCAAGTATCAATGTATTAATGAATTTTGAAGTATATAATCTTATATGAACACAGGAACAGACTGATAGACAGACAGAATGAAATTTATACTTCAATGCCTTACCATCTTGGCACCAAGGCCAAATTTTCCGCGTGTCTGCTTCAGATCGTACTTAGTTCCAGATAAAACTGCACAAACAATTCTCTTAAAAGGTAAAAAGCATAGAGCTATTTATATGTGGTGGGTCAAAACTATCTCCAAGAGACATATCCTGATTGTAAGACCCTCAAGGGGGGGGATCGTAATCAGAATCAATACCTCGCCCAAACATATTTGGTATATCATCGTGTGGCATTCCTCTTCCATTATCCTAAATTGGAAACACAGTACAGTCAGGATACCATTTCTACAGACAATAACCCATTTCAACTTCCAATAAATTTCAAAAATTTATCAAAACCTGAGTGGATAGAACTACATTGTACCTTACATGTCACCCGGTAATATGAGGCCTCCCGACTTTTCAAGGGCTTAGTAGTCGTTGGTACTTTGACTTTCTTCCCAACAGAAGCATTCTTTGCTTGAATCTCTTGAAGTCGTGCTTCCTTGGCAAGCCTTTTCTAAACATCGGAACTTAAAGAAAATGAGACATTGTGATATAACCTTTATGCAGCCATTATTTATGAACAGGCTGCTTTCCTAAGCATTAATTTTTCA